CATTTTAGTGAAAGTTTCATGCTTCAAGGCGTACGATACACTGCTCAAATTCTAAACGACCTGCTTCCATTGCCAAGATACCGGGCGCTCATATTATAAGGTAAGGTTATAAAACCACCTTTTAAGATCATCTTAGTGAAAGTTTCATATTCCTATCTCATATAATTTAAGAACAATGATGAATAAATCATTTTCGAGCAAAATTTAAATGGTTGGCTGAATATATTACCGCCGGAGAGACACGGCAGCAGAATTTAAATGACTGCGCGAAAGGGTTAAAATAGTATCCAAAACTATACTGAACACTTGCCCACTGCTTTAACAGATTGGCAAGGGTACAGAATAATTTTTATAATATCTTGGCTGTTCTCTATCAGGTCTGCAGTAAGAAACAAGAGGCATATGGGTTATAGATATATATGGACTAGTGTTTTATAGGGGTAAAGAATTTTAAATACTTTGTACAGAAGTACAATTATAACATATTATTGCTACATTTACCAATTACATGAATGAATTGGGTAGATGTGTGTATAGTAGAGCCCATGTCAACATAGTGCTTAAACAATAATACATTGTTACAAGACTTTTACTTACCATTTTGATAGGTAAAACTCATATAACTTGACAGGGCACCTCAAGGGGTTCTCTTCATTCTCCTGTTGTTCATAAACCTTCTTTTTCCTTGAATTTGCCTCTATAGAAGGTAGAATAAATAACAGCAACACCATAAGAATTCGTTATTCACTGTACTCTCTAAACAACAAACTAAAAAATATAAACTGGTCAGTCTACAAAACAGGGTCAACACAAAAAGGCCAAATAAACAGCCTTAAACATTGTGTAATACCACTGTCAAACAATGTTAAGCTTAGTTTAACAACACACTTCTTTTTGTTCTGTCACCATGTTATGGTTTAAGCCATTAAGTGTGGAATGCATGTGGATGACTGCTCACAATTTGTTCTTCCATCTCACGAATAATATGTGAACCACATGAATTCTGCTTGCATAATTGTTGGATCACATGGACTAGGAAGACAGAATCACAGGGGTCAAATGCTTATTGACTTTTGTGAAAGAAATGGACTGATTGTCACCAACACTTGGTTGAAGAAGCCAAAGAGAAGAATTTACACACGGAAGGCACCTGGGGATTGGAGGAGGCATCAGCTGGACTATATCCTTGTGAAACATCAATTCAGAAACAGTGTGAAGAATGTGAAAACGCTTCCTGGGGCAGATACTGACTGTGGCCACAACTAACTCGGTGCAATTGAAGGTGAAAGCGGAAATGCTGAAGCGCAGTGGAACAATATAAAAGAATGCATGTTAGATACTATCAGTGATTTGGTTGGTAAAGTTGAGAAGATAGCAAGAAAACCATGGGTTACACTGGAGATGATGAGTAAAATGGAGGAGCGAAGGAAATGGAAGAATGTCAACAATGAAGAAGGCAGGAGGAAATACAGGAGACTGAGGAATGAA